GAGTATTTTGCTTCCCATGGTTCAAGTTTTGAGCAGCCCATAAGTATGTAACATTTCAGTAGATTTCCATGGATAAAAAAAAAGCTGACCAACACCATATTCAGTGTAGACATCTTGGAAACCCCTGATTCTAGATTCTCATTTAGGCTTTGTAGAGATGTAAGTTAAATAAATTAAGTTTTGCTTTGAGTATTTCCAATGGATGAAGCAATTAAATAGTTTTTGCAAGCTCAGTTTTTTAAGCCAGACTTTCTGATTTTAAAGAATTTCTCATTTAAATGTTCTACAATTGTCTGCCATTCGATCAATACATTTTTCAAATCTTATTTAATTTATTGTGAATTAAAAGAGAAAAAAAATGGTTTATTACCGGTAATATGGTATAAATATCTATGTTAAGTTATGTCTAATTGGCAGATTACTTTCGTAGACCCACTTTATGTAGATTCTGCATGTCTTTGTATGTTAATTGTATTTTTAGCATTTCTTGTGTATTTCTACTGTTGGGAATAAATACCATATAAAAGTATAGATGGTAGCTGCAAGAAGAAATAATTATAGTTTTGCATTTGTATGTTTGTCTTTTCTAAACTTGCTATTTAAAGTAACACCAGTTGCGTAATAATCAACTTATTAATGTTCATGATTCAACTCCAAACATGATGTACAAATGTACTATATAGGGCTTAATTATTCACTGGGTTTTATTGTTGCTTACTTCTCTGGCAGCTAAATGCGATAAATTAAAACCCAGTGACTATACAAATTTAACAACAGAATATTTTTTGTTTCAATCCAGTGACTATCTCTACAACGTCAAATCTCCTAAAATTAAAAAAAATTAATATACAGGTATCCTCTTCTATAGTAGCCCAACATCGGCCATTGACAAAACATGGAACGACCTAAAACGAACCAAACGAACCGAATAACCAAACTGACCCAAAACGAGCCAAAAACAAGCCAAACTGACCAAAAACTACCCAAAAGAGTAACAAACGAACCAAAATTAGCCACAAATTCAAAAAAGATGGGCGATCAGTCATTTTAAAAGGATACTTTAAACTGACAGTTGGGGGCGCTGTCCTCAAACGACACAATGAAAAGATGTAAATGAAAATATAGTATGAGTAAGTAAATACTAAATAATTATAACACAATAAACAAACTAATGCACTAATTTTAAGTAATAAATAAATCTTAACCAAATAAACACTACTAGATAATTATTATTAAGAAGTAACCAGTAAATAAAGTCTGGACCTACTATTTCCAAGCTGTGCTAGAAATGGAAAAACAAAAGTAATAAGAAAAATGTGTGGTAAGAATAAAAAACTGTAAAACTACATTAAAATTAAAAAACCGCTATTTATTATGTTGCTCGGTATCGCCCGGCTTTTAACTTAAAATGGAGAGATAGTACAACGCGTTTTCCCCTAAGGACAGTATCACGCGTTGTAAAATTGCGTTGTAACCACAGTCAGCTGACGCAAGCGTGATAATAAAATAAATGCGATATTTCCTATATGGTAGCCGCCATCTTGAATGCGGCATAAAACGTAAGTAAGAAACAAGTTGTGCAACGCGTTTTTCAGATTCCTACAAATCAGGACAAAAATGCCAATCTTTCACATAAATACGATCCGTTGGGGGTAATATTACTATCGTTTCAGTCATTCTTTGAACGATTATGTTTAACTAAATATTGCTACACTACAGCAAGTTATTATCAACATTGTCGGTAAATTGCTTCCAATGTTGTTGTTGAAGTTGTTTTGCTACAATAAAGTTTGTTTTGATACATTTGCGACGCACCCTTCTAGCAGCCGTCATTGGATTCACAACGCTTTTCACTTTCAGCGTGACCGTACACGCGATTTCCAGTAGTTTTAATAACGGATGATTCATTTACAATAGTAAGCCAACCGATAACAAAATCTGTTACTATATATGCCGACCCCACTTTAGGTCATTTTTTGTTATCCAAGAAACGTTCCGAGCGTTTGCTGCTTGCGCCAGCTGACTATGGTTGTAACTTGTTATGAGGGCGACCAGTACATTTTTCTGGGGAGATAAAAATTTAAATTTAGATCGCAAAACGATTGCTATGCAACAGTTTATGGCTATGGCAGTTAGTTGAAAAATAAAATTGTATTTGAGAGAGCGATATTGAAGTAAACAAAGATTGGTCACTGTAACGAATGATTTATATGACGTCACGGTGGCGTGGAAACTACTAATCAATGTTAAAATGTCACCCTGGAATTTATCGCAACAAAATATTTATGCATACAAGCGGTTTTTTACATACTATCCAGACTCGCCCATTTGATCGTCAGAATCACTGTGAATGACGCTAACATTCTGAGCAAAAAATAAGGAGTTGAACAATAGAAATGTTGAAAAGCAGAAAGGCAATTACTTTGTTCTTAAGTTTTGAGCTGGATTCGTTCTTTCGCTCTATTCAAGGAGTAAGTTATTTTTTAAACGTTTGTTTTATGACATTTTCTCTGTATATTTTTCTGACATATTTTTCTCACAAGTTTTTAATAGAAAATCCCCGATAAAATTTCACCGCGCATATCGCGCATCGAAACCTCCAAGAGGTTAAAGGGTGTCACGTGAAACGTTATGTCGATTATGTCTGCGTCATACCTGGTGGCGGCCATTTGTCATGCTGCCTTTACTAGACTCGTCACATCCGACAATGTGCAACACACACTTACATAAGGTAAGGTTCATTCCAGGTGCGGCCACGCATGTGCAGTCGGTCCGGCGAACCATTTATTTAACAAAACATACTAATAAAGCCGACTAAACAAGGCTGCCATTACATTGCATGTAGTGTTCAAATTGAAATAAACTAAATGAGAGAAAAATTAACTTGCATGTACTGCAAAAAAGATCAACTATTGATGCTCGGCAAATGGCATTAACATTACTCGGTCAAAGAAACATTTAAAATAACTGACAAAAACATCGACAAAATAGTAACCCCCGTTACTGGCACGCCGACCACCCAGGAAAAACCAGGAATAAAACGAAACCCTTTGGGGACAAAAAATACCTGGAAACCTGTACCCGTCGCACTGTCGAACGTGCCCAGGGGAAGGTGGCGGGTGTCGCCCTGTATTATACAACAAACATAAACAAACTTACAAAACAATCAGTTGAAAACTGCACTGTAGCGAGACTGGCCTAGATTGACATTCAACCT